GGACTTCAACTCCCAGAATTCTGCTGGCTGGGGAATTCTGGGAGTTGAAGTCCACACATCTTAAAGTTCCCAAGTTTGAAAAACACTGGTCTAGGAGGGCACCCAGGCCATGACCAGCTCCTTTAGGAAAACTGCTAGACCATCCAGGAACAGACAAATTGCCAGGAAGTTTATGGACAAAGAACAATTCAAGCTTTTATTATTACCCGTGAAGTTCAGAAAGACACGGGGAAAAAAGGGAGATGTGCTCAAAATAAGGTGTATTTGATCTCAGGCTGCTAATTAAGCTATCAGCCCCTGTAACAAGGGCACTCATCGATTGTGCTGATATAACAGTAATGAAGACAAGCTTTACATCATCTCAACACCGGTCAGGCAACCCAAAATGTTGTAAATCACAAGCTGGAAAATAGCCAAACTCCCAGCACTTCAAGATCCTTTTTGCAGCTTAAAAAAAATAAGGGGGGGGGAGCTTTCATTTTTAAATGAATGTTGTGCCATCTAGTGGTGGAAGAAAAAAGAACAGGATACACAATTTGCAATTCCTGACATCCCCATCATGTCTATTTAAAGCTGTTGACACATTTCTCTGCTGCAGGTGAGCAATTTGCAACCCAAGTTGACAAAGTGTGGTTGTCATTGCAACAGCCCTCACAAATGCTCCCTTCATACAATGTGCCTTTTATGGTGTGTCTCCCTTGGTTGCTACAAGTTGGTCTTGGGCACTCCTTTTGGGTTGCTTTTGCTAATCTGTTACCTCCAGAACTATTGGCCTGACAACCTCTGCCTGCCCCCTCTGATCCAACTGGCTGGGGTCAATGGGAATTGTAGTCCCAACATATCTGGAAAGCGCCAGGATGGAGAAGGTTGCTTGAAATTTTAAAAATAGTCATCAAGTTTCAAAACTGAGTTCCGGGTACAACCTGCAAACTTCTGCATGCAAATATGTGCTGTTGAAATTCCAGGTTTCCTTCCACTTACCTTTCCCTGTGTAGCCCTTCTCCCTATTTTTTTCTTTCTTTTCCAGATCCAAAGCAAAGCTTTGGATCTGGATGTTAAGTCCTAGAGGAAATGCTCCTTGGCACGTGCTCAGAGGCACAGTTGTTTAGACATTAAGGCACTACAGCTGTGTAACAAGCCTGCATGAAGACTGTTGCCTTCAAGCTGCAGACTTTTGAGATGAGAACATTAGGTGAGATTCCTGTGAACCATGTTCAACGGCTTAAGTGTTTCCTTCAAATCTCTCTAGTTATTTTTAACTACAAAATTCATAGTAAGTTATAAATAACAGATCGACAAATTAAATGATTTAATTTTGCCACCGTGTTTCGCAAATCCTAATTTGGTTATGAATCAGATTTTGCGCCCATGTGAGCCATAACTGAATCCATTCCAGAATGCAGAGGAATGCCATATAAGATATTGTACGTTTACTGCTTTAAAACAAAATCTGGACAGGAATAGCTGTGATGTAAGTTGGGCTGAAAGGGAGTAACTGGCCTGGACATCTGGTGAGTTTCTGTGGCTAAGGAGGCTCTACGGCAATGTCTTTCAAACTTGGCAACTTTAAGTTGTGTGGACTTCAACTCCCAGAATTCATGCTGGCTGGGGAATTCTGGGAGTTGATGTCCACACATCTTCAAGTTGCCAAGTTTGAAAAACACTGCTCTAGACCCTGGGTCTCCCTGGTGCCAGTCTAACACCTTCTCCACTGCAATTGTTAAATCCTTAAATGACTGGGTATACAGTATCTGTCATGCAAACCCAGCCATGGTACACATGAAAGAGCTTAATAGATCTGGAAAGCTTCAACAGAAATCAAATTTCTCCAGGTTTTTTTTTTTCCACAACAAGAGTAATTGAAATAGAATAAAAAAAGGTTACAAAATACTCAGCAGCTGGATTGCTTTCACTTTCAGATCCAATTTATCTCCCAGGCTGCTCTGGCAGAGATGTTTCCAATCTTTTACCCATGGCTTCTGTCTGAAATGATAAGGAGGATATTCTTTTAACTGATAAGAGAGGATACGTTTGTGGATCAGTGCGTGTCACTCTGGGCCTGAGCATATCATTACAGGGTGCTACTTACTCAGGAATAAACTACGTTTCAGAAGGCTATCAGACCTCTAGGGAACCTGTTAGGCTACATCAGAATAAAGTGATTTGTCAGAAAAGCACTTTCAATGAATCAGTTAAGATCTCATATAACTGTCTGTGTGACAGTTACATGCTTGTGAACAGAGAACGACAGATCTATTGCACTAAGGCATGGCTTGTTTAATCATGATCAGATCCATCATAATTGTCTGATGTGGGCAAGGGGGCACAATGTGATCTATGCCATGACATCCTACAAACAGCTGCATGATTTTATCAGACCATGTTATTATGACGCTTTTATCAGACCATGTTATAAATTTACTGCAGTGACTGGGTTCCTGGACCATGCTAAGCTAAGCCAAAAACAAATTATATTTTAACTTCCTCTGCAATATGAATATAGTAATAGATAGGGATCTAAAATTTCCCCCCAAAACTGATTTTGTTGGCCTTCCCACAACCTAATTAAAAAATCCTGTGTTATACAACTGAATACCCTCAGTCTCCTAAGCTTACCTCACAGGGTAATTGAAAGGCAAAAATGGGATCAGGATACAAAAACCTACAGTGAACCTTGAAGATGCAAAGATATCTAAATAAATATTATTTTACATACAGCACAATCTTCTCAGAAGTATGACCAAGTTCAACCAGCCTTCCTTCTACATAAGCATATGAAATTGCAGCTTTAATTTAAAAGAAAGACATGCCTACATTTTGTCCAGTTTCTTTCTTTAAAATGTTAGTATCAATTTGTAAAAAAACACCCACACACTCTTGTAATCAATTATAGCTGCTTTTCATTTATTTAAAAGCAAGCATATATTTTGCTAAGGAACTTTCCTATCTCTGGCCTTAGAGTGAGGAACACACGAGCATGAGAAATTAATCAATCTCTTCTAAGAACCATGATTTCATAAGCATGAAGCTTGCTTTGCTGTTAGAAATGCAAAGTACAAGGAAACACAATGACAGAAGATATTAGCGACTGTGTCTTGCCTTTTTTCTTTTTCTTGCTTGAATGTAAGAGCCAACATGTAGGGTGAGCAGTAAACCTAAGTTTGGAAAGCTTCTGGTAGCACCTTCTGAGCCTAACAGTTTTATTTGAGGCAATAAGCTTTTGTGAGCTGCAGATCACTTCATCAGATGCATAGAGTGGCTTGACTGATGGGGGATTTAAACAGAGTAAGGCAGGGGGCAAGAGGAGGGAGAGACAGGATAGTTATGCAGATGGGGGTCCTTGGGAGGCAGATTACAAGCATCTATCAATTAAGAGTTATAAAGTATGAAGAACCCACTGGGTGAAGATCTTGGTGCTCTCTGAGCTTGGTTGTTTGCTTGCAGACATTTCATTACTGAACTAAGGAACATCTGATGATGTTCCACCCTGAGCTACAGATATTCTCTTCTATTAGAACCCAGTGTCCTTGAGATAGCATAACCTGAAACCTTTTCAGGTCTGTAAGCACAGCTTGTTCCCATTCAATTGTGCTGGTAAAGGTCCTTTGTTCTAAAATCAATACTTTGAGATCTGTAACTGAATTTCTGGATTTTGGCTTCCATAGACTGACACGAGGTAGATGGACTCAGTTACGGTGGCAATGGGGGCACCATTGGAAGACCTGAATGATCAGGTCAGGGATAGATCGTCATGTCGTGGAGAAAATCTATCTGTGTGGTCGCTAGGAGTCAAAAATGACTTGATGGCACATAATTAGTCAATCAATCAGACTGGGATTCCTGATACAATAAACCAAAGGAGGGCCTACCAGTGGAGGAGGGGGCTCCTTGTTTCTCCCACCTTAGGTAGCCATATCTAAAGCTGCAATCAATTACAGGACAGAAAAAGGCACCTGATGATTTTCCTGTTGAGCCCCATTTAATTCAAGAAAAGAGAGTGTGCTTTTGAGATTTATTTTAAAGGAGAAGACAATTTCAGAAAAGCAAATGTGCATGAGATATTGATAGCCTTGCATTTATTTGGAAGTGGCCAAAGGGTACATATGAATGACTTAGTGTGGAGAGCCACAGAGATGATCTTGAAGAAAGGACGTGGCGACCACTGCAAAAACAGGATGCTGTAGAGTGGGAAGTTTCAGATTGTTCGTGAAAGATTGTTCATTGACCCCCTTCATGAAGTTTCAGATTGTTCATCGACCCCCACCAAACATTTATTATATGAAAATAATTTAATAAATGCTACTTTAACTAATAGTACTACAAATAATAATAACATCAACCCCTTGGATAGTCCCATCGACCCTTGGGGTCACCATGGTTTCCAGGATGAAAGAAAGGGCTGTAGCTAATGGTTGAACTTCTGTGTTGCACACAGAAGGTGTCAAGTTTAATTCCTGGTTTCCCCAGACAGAGGTGGGAAAAGCTCTAGTCTGAACCCTAGAGAGTTTCTTCTAGTTCGTGTAATTCAGGGGTGCAAAATACAGCCTACTAGTCTTAAGCAACCCATCACCCTCCTGCTTCTGACTCCTGTTGGTGGTTGGGCCAAAAATATGGGAATTGAGGGGCTTTAAGGGACAAAATGGGTATCTTAAGCCTTGCAGATACACTTATTTCATCTCTTAGTCCCAAAACTCTCCTAAACAGGCTTTGGTTCTACTTTTGGAAGACAGAAGTTGCACAGCCCTGGTGCAGACACCAAATTAAACAAGAGCCTGAGATTCATAGGTAACAAATCTTATGTTCTTATTCGAGCACATAGTTTTCTTTTCCTGAAAAAAACACGTGACTTTGTCAAATTTGCAAAAAAAGGCAGTATGTTTTTTTAAAAAGACGTAATACTCTCTTAAGACTGCTGCACTGTATTTTGTGATGGAATATGAAACTAATCAACAAAACACATGTAGAACAAAATGGATTTGTGTTGCAACAGTACTACAAGGCATGGTATGGTACAGGAAAATGCTTTGCCACCACCCTTAAGAATTATCAAGTGTTTTGAACCATGTCTGAGAACTGCTGAGTGATAATAAACTAAGATTTACAGGATCCACTTCTTAAGATTCTTGGGAATTCAGGACTGCTCTCAGACATCCATTTATTAGCATCTTTGTTTATTCTTTATTTTAATTATGAGTTGAAACACAAGACAGGGTTTTCTCTAGACAAGAAGGAGGCTGTTGATCCATTTAGATGAATGTTCTGTTTTGACTGAAGCACTGAATTGTCAGTACAGTGACTGAGGAACAATCAAAAGATGTACCAGACTTAATTGCATACTTACCACGAGCAAAATACAGCTATGGCAGTTAAGTGACAGTTTACGGCTTTGAAACCTTCTCCCATCATAATTTTTTCCCCCTTAGCTATTTCTACAGCATTACTTTGTTATAAAGATGTTTATATCACATTAGATTTGGATTTGAATGACATATTCATCCATAGTTAACTGAAGCATGGTTTACTCAATTAACTGATGTTTATAGGCACGCATGATACACAAAACCTAATCACCAGGACTGGGGTCACATAACACACCCAGATAAAATGTGGTTGGCTATTCTGTGATTCATTATGTCTTGAGAACGTAGCTTCTATGGGTTAATCTGTTTACTGCTGCAAGCATAATTCATACAGGTAGTCCTCGTTTAGCAACCACCGTTGGGACGGGCAATTCGGTTATTAAGCAAAGAGGTCACTAAGTAAAATCGCGACTTATGATCTTACTTCAGCTTTCCTTTGCTTTACAGACTTGTGAAGGTCGTAAATGCAAGGATTGAGCCTAAAGTTACTTTTTCAGCACTATTGTAACTGCGAATGGTTGCTAAATGAGGCAATCACTAAGCAAGAACTACCTGTACTCAACAACTGTTCTGTGAACAGCCACTTTCAGGTTAATTAGCACCATCTCTATCCTCTACATTCCATTTCCCTCTAACTGCACTGTTTACAATTCTTCCCCCTCATCCCAGAATTATAAATACTGTATTTTTCCATGTATAAGACGATACTTTTTTCTAAAATCGTTACACTAAAAATTGAAAGTTGTCTTATGCAAGGAAGTAAGCCGAAGAGAGAACCGCGCGGTTGCAAAACTGCCCATACTTTGTCCCTGCAAACAGGCTTCCTCCAATCACGAGCCTTATGTAACTGACGTCAGCTGATGCTGAACAAACCAACTGGAACACATCCCGTTGGAGGTGGAGAGCGTGTAGGCAGTGTGCAGATGT